TGTAAATGTCAGTGGCATGTTTTCTTGACAAAATATATTTTCAATTTTGAAAATTTTAATAAGCATACTTCTAATATGAGTATTCTTCACATAATTTGATGATTTTCGATTTTTCTTCTGCATTCAGATGATCGGTGCGAATTTGAGAACAGTCAAAATTGGGTTTGTAATCAAGTGAGTCTTCGAAATTATTTAGATTTATTTTTTCCAATTCTTCTCGATTAAATGGTTCTACCTTAAATGGTTGGGAAATATCAAGAGTTATTGGTTTGCAAGTGTTATTCAAAATGCTAGTAATAGCATAACCATTTTTTGCGATACTCAGCGAGTTTGGAATTTCGCAGTTATGTATCCTCTGGTAGGGTATAATAACCTCGCCGTCTTGTATATCAGTTTTAATTTTCACAAGTTGTTCAACTCGAGGAGAAACAGTAATATTATATATTGATGTGTCAGTTTTATGGAACTGCAACTTAATTCTTGCATGTGGAGTTACTAGGAATGCTGTATCAAAGTTAATGTTGGCTTGCAAGTTTTTAAGATTATCAAGCCCTAATAAACCATCGAATATGTTGTGAAATTTAAATAGGTAGAATTTTAGAGGTTCATTATGTGGTAAATTAAAGATTTTAGGTGCGGGTATTTGAGCACTGTACTTATGTGCTGATTGTTGAAAAACGGTGGAGACAATAAATGGGTCATCAAATATATTATCCGGGTATAATTTTTGAGCTAGTTCAGGATTTATAAATGATCTAGTGGAACCGCTATCTATTAAAATTTTTAAATTGTGTTCTGGGAATGTAATGTATGGCAGCTCGCTTGTAGAAGCATTATTCAACGATATTATTTCGGGTGTTAGCTTTCAGCTATGAAATTACTTGGTTGGTTGGACTGGAGATAATTTCTAGAAGGTTGTTGAGCATTGGCATTGAAGGTTTGCCTCGAAGTTGTTGACATAGGAGTAGGTTTTGGGAAAGTTCTATTTTGATTGGGTTTAAATGCATTTGTTGAGTGTGTTGGATTTATTTTCGAATACTTGGGAATTGGTAGGGAATCTTTGTGGGATTTTGTTAAAATTTGGTTTCACAGCAATAGGCTGAGATGGAAATGTTGGCTTAGCCGTAAATAAATTGTTAGATGTTTGGCTATTAAATCCTGGGTTAAAATGTGTGTTTCTAAATTGTGTGTTTGTTTTATTGTGTTGTATGGTTTTTTGTGTATGAGGTTTCTGAAAATATTGAGTGTTATACTCATCAGTAACAAATTGTAGAGCTTGCGGAAGGTCTCGTGGACGCATGCAACGAATTGTCGTGCCTAATGGTTCCCTTAGGCCCGATAAGAATGTTTTTAAAGCTAAATCATTGTATAAATTACGTTTCAGCAATTTTGCAGCGTCATTTGTTTCATGAATATCCACGTAGGAACATAAAAGATTTAAAATATGTAAAATACGATCGTAATATTGGCTAGGTTTTTCACCATTTTGTTGCCTAAGCATTACTAAATCGCGATTTAAACAAGCTTCATCGCGCTGGTCAGCAAAATGCCTGCTCAAAATAGTTTTAAGTTGGTCCCAAGTTGTTACATTTTGGGTTCCCAAAACTAATTTTGCGTTAGCGGTTAATTTACCGATTATCGAGTTCAGCAAGTAAATGTTCTGAAAACTATCTGGTTGAGCAGCGTTATAGAAAGCATCAATGAGGCTTTGACATACTGATATCTGTTCAAATCATTCGGATTTCCGTCAAATTGTGGTACACAACTAAGGTACTCTGGCTTGAAATGAGCCATATTGTTAGAGTTTAAATTCGGAACAATGCAAATGTTTTGATTATCAAAAGATGTGCTTTCGGCACCGTTACTTTCAGAAAATGTTTGATTAATTATTCTAATTAAATCTTCCGAATCAGATGAGTCAGTTGAAGGCGGTAATGATAAATTATTCAATTTTTCAATTATTTCATCTACATCAGACATAAGTTAAATTGCACTTACAGACTGAATAAGAAGAATTTCATTGCTATAAGTCCCAGAGGTTTGGTTGGCGATATGGTCCTTCCAAATGGTTCTTGGTCCTTGCGAGATTTGGACAATTTGGTTGCAAACTCCGATTACTTCGAGATAACAGGTTCACGATGAACTGGGTGTTTCGATATCTAGAAAGCCACTCTGACACCTCACAGTAAACAATTAACGTAAGTCCGTTTTTTCCGGTTAGTCCGAATACCGAAAAACCGATAAACAGTCTCGAAAAACACGTCCTGTCGACTGCGCCAGTTAACAAGTCAGCAACCGAGGGTTGGTTTTTGAAAAATTGACTTTATTAACAATTCGAAATTATTACTAGCGAAAGCACGTTACAATAAAAGTTATAAGTATAATAAATTTCAACTGACTGACTATCCTAAGAAAATACATATATTTATAATGAGCTGAAAAGCAGAATAAGCATTTTAAATGAAAACTCAGCAAATAGACGTGATATATCTCGTATTTAAATTTGAATTTAATTGATATTTTTTATTTGATTAAAAGTATATAAAGTTATAAAGTAGATAAGAATAAATAATGCTCAAGTATTCAATATCTGTTTTTATGTTAACTGAATTTTCATGCTAAATTTTCTTCTTTATGTAATATTTGAATACTGTTATAATTAGAGAGATGCCCAGTTGTAAATGTTTAGCTATAGCAGTGGTCTCTTCAATTAGTCTAATATCACTTTTATGTCCTGCCATTCTTTTTTTTTTAAGGTTTGTGATGTTTGACCAATATAGGTTTTATCACAGCGCCCACAAGGAATAGGTTCATGAACAATGTTAGTTTGTAATTCAATTGGATCTTTATTTTTTAGACCTGAAGAAGAAACATATTAGTTTCGGAAGTTTGACATTATGCAAGAGTTTTACAACTTAAAATAATTTTTGACCGATATATCCTATTATTATCATAAAAAGAAAATATATTTGTAATATTTTTTGAAAACGACAATTTTTTCTAATTTAAACGCCTTCGTAACCTCAACCGTTTCCGAGATAGCAATGCTGTCCCTATGAACTAAACTAGGTACCCAGCAATAGGTTCGTTCCAAGTATAAATTTCACCAATTTTTGAGATGCGACAACTTTTTCATAAATTAACGGAAAAATATGCCGTTTTTACCATTTTTGGGAGCAATTCCTTGTTAATCATCTGCTTTACACAAAAAAATATAGAATTTGAGTTTTTTTTTTTATACAGGGTGATATAGGAAGTGCGGTAAAAATTCAAAATTTTTGTTGCCAACCCATTTCCACAATTATTTTTATTTATTTTTTCTAGGCATACCCGAATGATTATTATGTTCATCCCTCGAACCATTTTTGTATTTTTTCTTATATCTTTTTTTGTTTATAAAATAATGCAAATTTTGTGTTATAACTTTCCAAATATTTTTTTCATAATTTTGCTTTTCGGCAAATAGTTTCATGCACAATAACTTTTAAATAAAAGCACTCGACCGCTTCGCGGCCTCGGGCTTTTATTGTTAAGTCATTGTGCATTCAACTATTTTCCACGCACAAAATATGTTGGATAGTTTAATCGATTAAATTTAAAGCTCTTGTGATATAGTATATGACTATGAGTGTATTACACCGGCAATGAATTCGGTATTCAGCTGACAATATTGCTAACTGGACAATACCAACAACATGGTATTTCAGCGACCATTTTTTGACATTGTCAAACTGATATTTTTAATTTGAAGTTTTTATTCATATTTTTACATTCTATTTATTATCAAAATCTTACGTGAAATAGTCATGACGAATATCACTCGAGAAAAAATTGTGTAGGCAAAATTGCTCTCAAGGCTTCATTCAAGTTTGTTGCTTTTCGGCAATTTCGCTCATGACATTTTTGATAAGATAACTCGCCTGACGGCTCGTGAAATTCGCGAAATTCGCGAAATTGCCAAGCAACAAACTTTCATATCTGTCGAAAATTTTGCCGACAAATTTTTTTCTCTTGTGATATTATATATGAAAAAATATTTAGCAAAAAAACAAAATCGACGTTTCCGAGCGTTTTTTCGAAAAGGTCCTCATTTAATTGTTATCCATTTTATTCCATTTGGCTGATACACATTGTATATATTGTCCGTTGTTTTTAATCTGACACTTTCCGTATGAGGAGCGAGGGGGTGAATCTTATGGCTAAAACAGGTGTGACGTCAGTTGACCATTGGCGTTTTAATGTTGGGAGCCACCAGCTCACATTTTTTTGGAATATCAGATTAAAATCGACAGACTTTACAAACAGTGCCTCCGTCAGCGTCGAGTAGGTAACGTGATGAAATAGTTATTTATGTACAAAAGCGCAATTAGGATTTTAGAGGCCCGTCGAGTAGAAATTAAAGTATGTGGGCTGAAAGTGTCAAATTACCCCCGCAAATCAGGGCGCAAATAGGTACTTTGCAGCCCGGTCATACATGAAAAAATTTCATGAAAAATCATAAAGTTGCTTTTTTCCAAATTGAATGGGGCTTTAAACAGGTGCTGTTTTTTTTTTAGCCATTAACATAATTAATTGATATCTTCATGAGAAACGGTTCCCAAAATATGAGTTGATAACAAATTATCCATCTTTTGATATTGTTGGAATTAATGCAACACTTCTTCTATCCCTCGAGATATGTCGTCTCAAAATTGAAATTGATTTATTTAGATAAAATTCTGGTCTCGGCCAATAGAAGAACTAGTAAATTTCATTGCCAATTTAGAAACATATGCCTAATACCTATATTGGTAGGTAGTAATCCCATTTGGCTATACCCCAATATTAGACTCACCTCTAAAACAACGACTTAACAGCGGTCCGGCGCCGGCTTATTGCCTAGTATGCTTCTTGTTGAGTTGGGAAATTATGAAAAACTTTTGTTGCCTTCCAATTTCTGATTTTACAATTTTAGTTTAAAGCAACTTTTACTTGACGGATATTTCCTAGATCTAACTTACCTAGAAGTTTTCCAGCTCCACTTGTCGTTGTCAACGTGGAAAAAACTTCTACCTCATTCAAAAAGTGATACGTGGCGTTGAATCCGGTACCATCCAACCTGTCATTCGATCTAAAGGTCACTCGAAAGAACTTCCTATCTGATTCAATATCAAATTCTTTGAGCTGACCACAATGTCTTTGGTACTTCCTATCCCTGGCCATGAAATTTGAGAATTCCACGTAGTCGCTGGCAGAAATTGCTTCACATCTAAAAAAAAAGCTATTTATGCAACAAGTGTGTTTGAGCCCAATCCGTAATACGATTTTATTTTGAATTTTTTATTTAATTTTTGTTTATTATTTAAATTTTACTTCTACAAGAACCGTATTCGGAACTTCCTCTCTGCCAATAGTACCTAATACCAGTAATACCTGGATGTCATGTTTGAAATATATATAATTAGATGTCAAAGAAAACCGTTTCAATAAATAAATTTAGTCAAAGTAAAGGATTAATATACAGTCCGCATATATTTTTAATAAATATTAACTAGTGCAACAGTAGTGCAAAACATTGGTCCTTCGATTCCGGATAAATAACTAGTGATATCCTATAATAAAGGGATTATCTCAGGTAAAATCACAAAATTGGCAAAAAAGCCAATTTCACTAAACTAGCTGAAGTTCGAGGCAAAATCGAGCTATATCGGCTGTGAGCTGAAATCAGAAAAGTGTGGTGATCCAACGCGGGTTTGTTCGCGTAGTTCTGGGTGAGTCAATTTAAATTAAAATTTGTAAAGCTTAATATACCTTCAATTTGTGTCAATTATGGAAGAGTTAGGGAAAAATTATTTGAACGCAGTAGAAACAAATAAGATAAATGATAATATTATAAATGAAATTCAAATTAGACTTGAAAAATTAAGGCCTCTTTTTGACGAATTTGAAGATATGCAATTTCAGATAGAACAACTAACCAGCAGGGCAAATAATTCAGAGATTCAGTCTGATGAAACTGAGAGAGGTGAGTTTGAAGAAAAATATTTTAAATTGTATGGGGAAATGAATGCCTTGATAAATAGTCATAATAAGCCTTGTGCAAATTCCAACTCTACGGTTCAGACAGCACCGTCACAAAATATAAATTCATTACCTACTTGGTTCGCCACACTGTCAAGTATTTTTCTATTTTCGAAAATTTATTTTCGAAAATCTGATTTTATTCTACACCCAAATGGGCTGTTCTCGGTTATTGCTTTGTTTGACTTCTACGAGAGGGAGCCACGCGCTATTAAAGATCGACATCTTGCCTAGCGTTTGAATCTCCTGCAAAACTGTTTCTCCGAGTTGGTGTGCTTTCCGCTTATATTGCACTGACGAGGACATAACAAGTCCGAAACCGGTCTGCAATTAGCGATAGTACCCAATGAAAGAGAATTCAGTTTTCTCTATTGTCTTACAAAGCAAAACCACCAAGTATTGCGTAAATCTGACCGTGTCAGAGCAATACAACTCATAGTATGAGTAATTAACAGTGTGTTGGAGCTTTGGCGAAACACTTGTGTTTTCCAAAAAATACCTCTAACTAAATTTATTACAATCTTTGGTGAAATTACCGCCGATTAAACTGCCAAATTTTGATGGGCAATACAGTAATTGACTTGAATTTAAAGACTCCTTTAACGCCTTGGTGGACGGTAATAATGCATTAAATGATGTTCAGAAATTTTATTATCTAAGGTCTTCCTTGAGCAAAGATGTTCTCGAAGTAATTAAGTCATTAGAGGTCACAGACGCTAATTATAATATTGCATGGAGATTTCTCAATGACAGATTTGAAAATAAAAAACTTATTATTCACAATCATATTTCTGCTATTTATGAACATCCTAAGTTGCTTAAGGAGTCGTATAATGACCTAAGAAATTTATATGACTCGATCACCAAACATTTGAGAGCATTAAATTCATTAGGTGAGAATACTGATGCATGGGATAGTCTTATAATTTATATTATGTCAAGCAAGTTTGACTATGTAACACGTCGTGAATGAGAAAATTATAAATGTGTAGGTAATTTACCGAAAATGTCAGATCTAAATAATTTCCTTAAAAATAAGTGTGAGGTATTGGAGAAGTTAGAGGCATCTCAACGACAAGATGCTGAGTCTCAAAAATATAATAAAAAACAGGTCAATAAAAAACATTCAAGGGGATTAACTAGTAGCTATTCATCAGTAGAAAATAGCTTCACAAAAATTTTCAAATGTTATTATTGTCAGGGATCTCATAGTATTTTCAAATGCGGTTCTTTTCTCAAGTTATCAGTAAATGACAGAATAAGTGCAATAAAGCAGCTAAAATTATATCTAAACTGCTTCAATGATAAGCATCCTTCATGGAAATGTATAAAATCCAAATGTACTAAGTGCCAGAAAGCCCATAATTCCATTTTACATTTGGATTCATATAATAATAATTCAGAACAAAGTTCAATAGTTAATCGTGGTGAAAATAAAATCACCCAAGACCAAACTCAAGGTATAATAGGAAAAGAAAATGTCGTCCAACAGATAGCTAACAGTTCTTTAAATTCATTTTTGGGTCAGCGCGGTGCTGTCGGATCTCAGACACAGCAACAGACATTTGATACAGGGCATACAGCCATGTCAGCATATTCACAGGTATTGCTTTGAACTGCCATGATTAAGGTGATAAATGGTAATAAAACTATTTTTGTACGCGCTCTATTGGATAGTGGATCACAGAGTAATTTCGTTTGCCAAAATGTTTGTAATGAATAAAAATTGAACCAGGTCCAAATAAATCATGCTGTGAAAGGGGTAGGTCAATCCTCAACTAGCATAAATTCACAGGTAAATTTGACAATAAAATCCTGTATTGACAATAATTTTTCAGTAAATATTAATTGTTTAGTTCTACCAAGTATTACAGAAAAATTACCGATTTTGTCATTTAGTAAGGAAATTCTAAGAATTCCATCTAATTTGGAACTAGCAGATCCTAAATTTAATGTAGCAGGAGATGTTGAAATTTTATTAGATTCAGACATTTTCTGGTCTGTTCTAGGATCTAGACAACTCCAGTTAGGACCTAATTTACCTATATTACGGGAAACCAAATTTGGATATGTGATAGGAGGGAATTTATCTATCAATAAATCAAGTTTCAATGACTCTTCATTAAGTTGTTTTATTTTAAATGACTTCAACCAATCTTTTGATAAAATTCTTGTAAGATTTTGGGAAATTGAGGAACTCAATATTAATAAATCAATTTTGTCTGAAGCAGAGCAATATTGTGAAGATTATTTCGCAAAAACAACTACCAGAATCTAAATGTCAGGCAGATTTGTGGTTAGGGTACCATTCAAGAAAAATTTAAATTTATTAGGCGACTCCCGTAAAATGGCACTTAAACGATTCTTTCTACTTGAGAAAAAATTAAATAAAAACATGGCCTTAAGAACAGAGTATGTATCATTTATGTCATCAGAATATCAGGATTTAGGTCACAAGTCTTTAAGTGATGACGTAGATAGTGAAGGATATTTTCTTCCTCATCACGCAATTTTGAGAGAGACCAGTATTACTACGAAATGCCGGGTAGTTTTTGATGCATCAGCGAAAACTACCTCAGGGCTATCTTTAAATGATGTGCAATATTGTGGTACTACTACAACAGGATGTGTTTTCTATTTTAACCGGATTCCGAATGTATGAGTATGTAATGACCGGGGATATATCAAAAATGTATCGTCAGATACTAGTTGATCCTGATGAGACCAAGTATCAGAAGATATTTTGGCGTTCACAAATAAATGAGGAAGTTAAAGTATTTAAATTAAATACAGTGACATATGGTACCGCGTCTGCGCCTTACCTGGCAGTTAAGTGTCTATTTCAGATTGCAAATGACAATGAAAATAGTTACCCATTGGCTAGTAAAATTATTAAAAGGGATTTTTATATGGATGATCTATTGACAGGCTCTAATTCAATATCAGAATTAATTAAAATTCAAGGAGAGATTTTCAATCTGCTAGCAAACTATGGTTTTCAACTAAGAAAGTTTTTATGTAAAAGGAATAAATTATTAGAGAAATTTGAAGTCGATAAAAATTTGGATGTGAATATTCTTAACATAGGTGAGAACGAACAGAACAAAACTTTAGGAATATTCTGGGATGCCAATAACGATTACATCAGATACAAAATTAACAAAATTGAAGATTTTTCTGAAATTAAATTAACAAAACGTGTTATTTTATCATTAATTTCACAAGTTTTTGATCCCCTAGGGCTGCTTGGTCCCATTATTATTGTAGCAAAGCTAATAATCCAGGAGCTTTGGAAATTGAAAATAGACTGGGATGATGAGATTCCACAAAGTCTCGTAATTATATGGTCTTCATTTTACAATAATTTCTCTGATATCGTTTGTCTCAAAATTCCCAGATTTGCGATTTTTTCACAACAATTGAGCTTCATGGATTTTCTGATGCTTCCACTAAAGCGTATGGAGCATGCATTTATTTACGTTGTTCGATTTCCGATGGGAGTTATCTTGCTAACTTATTATGCGCGAAGTCTCGTGTAGCTCCAATAAAACAAGTAAGTTTGCCACGGTTAGAATTATGCGGTGCTTTATTGATCGCCAATTTATATAAAAGAATTACTGATATTTTAGAAATTAATTTCAATAAAACTTATTTCTGGTCCGATTCAACAATAACTCTATGTTGGATCAGGAATGAATCTAATAAATGGGTAAGTGAGATTAGATCTCTAACTAAATTTGAAGATTGGCATTATGTGAAGTCTGGTGAAAACCCAGCCGACCTGTTATCTAGCGGTGCTTCTATTGAAGTTCTAAGTAAATCAATTTTATGGTGGTACGGCCCTGAATGGTTTTCAGAAAATGAATTTAATTGGAATTTAGTAGAACCTAAACTTGAAATTGATAACCTTTGTGAACAAAGAACTGTTTCGTGTTTTGCAGTATTTAATCATAGTAATGAAATAATTTCTATTTTGGAAAAATTTTCTAGATTTCAAAAAACTTTAAGAATTGTAGCGTATATCATGCGATTTGTAAATTATTTAAAAAACAAATTTCGAAATTCTCACCCGCTACAACCAGAAGAAATTGATAATGCTCTAAAATTAATAATAAAAAATGTTCAAATACTGTGTTTTCCAGATGAATATTCAAGGCTATATAACAAAAAGGAATTAAGAAAATCTAG